TTGTATACGGCTGAGATGCTACTTTCGTAATGACGAGTCGTTTTTTTTTCATCATAAGGATACAATATATTTCTTTTATATAACCATGATCACTATTGTTGTATATTGCTATCTTATTCATACAACGCTTGTCTCTTTATTGTACGTTGTTTTAAATAGTATTTTTTACTTCAAGTCTGCTGAAATTCCTTACTAGTATGGTATTAATTTCTGGTTTATTGGAAATAATGATAGCATATTCCACACAGTATTGAAGATCATAGTCCTTAGACTGAACTCAAAACATTTTTTAGTGAAGTAACACTGTTACAATTCTTTCCAGTAGACTGATCTTCTGTACATAAAATAATGCTTTTATTCAATTGAGCTGGTTCAATCCCAAATGAATTCTAAACCTACTTTACTAATAACAATTATCTAAAATTTTACATTGATAATGCAGTAATTTTTTTAAGACTATAAGTAAGCTTTTTAAAGCAAATTTCAGCTAAAATTATTAGGTGCTGTATTTATGAAATTGACGCAAATTCTTTATTTCTTAACCTGCTGATATTATGATCATGCATATACAAGAAAAGGGATTTCCGGTGATGAAATGAAGAAAAATAACTTAGTTTAACCATATAGCTTTTCCGTGCAATGATGAGAATCCTATTCCCCTTCACAAATTTTCGTTTGTATCTGCATAATGAGTGTATTTCTGATCGAATGTGGTTGATATGACTTGAGCTGACTCCAAGAGATGCCAAACTATCGGACTAACGAATACTTGGTCCTAGTTTAGTATACCATGCCTGTTGAACAGTAGCAAATTTGGATTAATAACCCGAAATCTTTTTCTTTCGTCATCTCAGTTTATTTATCATAATTTGTGAAATATGAGCTGTTGCCTCATTTTTTATCATATACATTTAGAATAGTTTAACGAAAAAATTAGTTCTTAATCCTAAACCTATGTTTTCATTTGATCGCCTTAAGATGCCTTAAGAAAGTTCCAAATACACTAATTACTTAATAACTTTTAATTGCTTATAATGTAATATAATAGCCCAAGTTTGTCATTTTATAAAAGTAAACTGATAATTCTAGGTTGGTTTACGTGACAAGATGAGCAGAAAGTCCCACAATGGGGCCAAATTTCACAAGATAGTCTAGACTTCAGTTAGGGGTCCTGATAAGCCCAATAAATAACAAAAGGTTAATAGAAGCGTAAATAGGTTAAATTCAACGGCATCGTGAGGCATCAAAATCATCTAAATGTGAGCGAACACTCAATCGACTAAATAGATATAGGCTGAATTTTGTTTTCATAAAAAATATACTGAGTGATTCAAGCTAGAATCAGCCTGCCTATAATTTGTGCCGTTTAGAGTAAAAGTTGTAAATAAAGAGGTTAAAGGATGATACTTGGAGTAGCAATATACAAATGAGGAAAGCTGACTCGGTGAACCATTATGCTACTCTTTTTTATAATAAGCCAAATATTGTTTAATTTTCACCAACCTTTGCATTTTCTACACATGGGCAAATTGCCCATGCGGCACTAGATTGCACCTCAGGATTTGTGTGCTTCATGAGTGACCATAGAAGGCGAACGCCGTCAAGCTTGTCTATTATGCTGAAGGGGATCAGAAATGGTTTGGAGGAGGATGGATATAAGATGTGCATTATATATCGGAAACATACAATGTGTTTTTAAACGGGCAAATTAGTGAAGTGAGTTAAAAATGTGAGTAAATAACTTCATTGAATAAAAGGTAAGGAGGATATGAATCTAGAAGTGTAGCATATGTGGACTTCCTGCTGTATTTTATCTAGTAAGCTTAAACTGTATACGATAGAAGTAACTAAGGTCAAAAATAGCATGGATTTAGCCCAATCTGATTGTATTTCCAGGTCATGCTTACATTACTTATAAAAATGTGATCATTAGTCGTCTAATCATCATTTAAACTCTATAGCATATATTTATGTTTATTTAATATCGTTAAACAATTTCAATTAAACTATATCATATAGCAGCCTATTCTTAATATGTCGAAGTTCGAAATTATGTCCACTAACTTTTATACTACGTTTAAAAAGTAAAAAATCTCGGTCTTCTATACCGGCAGATTGTAGACAAAATACCAGCTCATAATAAAAATAAAAATCACCAGATTAAATGGACGGAATTCGAGGTGAATAAAGAGAATTGGGTAAATTATACGATACAATGAAAATAGATTGAATATATAATGTAGGAAATTAAATGTTATTTATTAGTTTTAAGTGAAGTGATTTTCTGATAACTAAAATGGAACCTAATAATTATGGACTGGAAAATCTCTGTAATCTGAAGTGTAATTTTGTGGAATAAATGAACCACTTTTATTAACATATTTACCTTTATCTTAGGCCGACCCAGCAGAATCTGCCTTAGCCAAAGAGGAAATATCGAAATTTGATATTGACTAGGAGTTTAACTATTCATAATGAAGTAAATAGACAACAGGAATATTATCATTAAACTTGTATGTATTCAGAAAATTACCTCTTAGTCAAGCTTGGGATATTCTAAATTTAATAACAAATAAATATATTTTAGAATAAGTCTATTGGCTGTAGCAAGAAAATTTAAGACAGCTTCTAGCCTAAACGATCCTATTTGGCAGTAAATGAATTCATTATTAACGTATTCAGCAGATTTCCCAACTTTGTAATATAAGATATAAAGACCAAGATGTTGTAGCCTCTGGTATGGTCGCAGTATACTTTCGATTTATAGAAGTGGGTTTTATATTACTTCGTCTAAATGCTTTGTTGTAATAGTTATAATAATTCACCGTGTTGTACCGTGGACTTGGTAGATTCCAAGACGTTCCGCCGACATCGTCGGTAAGTTTTGACATTCTCAGCGCCAAGACACAGCTCTTCAAAGAGGCATGTGAAGTCAAGTCTTTAAACTATTTTCTGTCGAACGGTTGTGCTACCACTCTCTCTTTTCTACCACACTTACCCGCCCCTTAAACTCTTACCTTACTTCCGCCTTACAACAACTTCTAGCTTGTTTATATTCCACTCCTCAAAATGTGCCTTTTTTGGCTAGTTTATTGTGGTATCATCACACCTTCCATTTGCCTTACCCCC